AAGTGTTCGCAAAATGAAGGTATGTTATTTTTATTCTAAAATCACTGCCAAACTTTTTCCTGAATATTAATGCTAGTAAATAAAGAACGGTGAAGCTATTGGACGATCAATAGGCCATGGCAGAAAAGAACGCCTTCGAAAGTTTCATAAAATGAGGAAACGTGCATTTGAAGAAAATGAACTTAACCAAAGCGATGACCCTGTTATTGTTTTCAACAACGAAGGGGACCCATGGTAAGCCTATTTTTATGTTATTCCGTTTATACATTCTCACTATTATAGTTTGTATTCATTGTTATTATATTAGCTTTAAATATACACCCCAATTGATGGCGGACGACGAATTCGTAAGAAAACGACTTAGAAATGAAGTAATGTATTTGGAGAATGACGATGAACGGTAGGTGAGAGCTTTATTTGCTGAAATATTTGAATCTTTCACTGACGATTTTGTTCTTATATAGTTATGAAATATCTTACGATGAGACTAGAGATAAATATCGTTTTGCAATTGTATCATCTTCCGTACACCTGGGTCCGCCAGTACCATTAAAGGATCAAGAAAACTCTCCCAATAAAATGCAAATATTTCCTTTGCCTTCAAGCTTGGAAGATTCATTTCGTGATGATTTGGATTATCACGAAATGACTTGGAATATTGTGGGTGTAATCGTTGCTGACAAAACCAACCCGTTACATAGTTTACTATGTATTTCTAAACGTGTATTTTGGCGTGATCGAACTGTATGAATCCCTAGAATGTTATTTTACTTTTTACGATGAGTAGAATTAAAATTTTTTAATAATGTGACTAATATCTAAATGTGTGTCAAATTTATATCTAATTATTAAGTTATTGTGTTATTGTGCAAATGTAGTTTATTATTGATATTGAATTTTTATCAGTTTCCGGAATTTGAGCGCGACAAATTATAGATTTTAGTCTTGGAATGACTATGTATATAACAAATTCGGTTTTTTCGATAATTAAATAGAGTGGTCAAAGTTGATTTACAAACATAGTGCAGATGATATAGTGATGATCATATATAAAATTAAATTTTGGATCTACGTTCCATATTAAATTATTATAAAAAAAAAATCGATTTACTTCGCCTTTAATTTCTCACGCAATATTTAACATTTTTAAATTCTATAAAAGCAGGATGTTTAATGAAAGGTGTCTTTATAAAATAATAACGTTAGAATTTTATCTTACTAATTGAAATATGTCACAGCTTGATTTACTGCGATCATATAGTAATTCATTGTCTGGGTTTTCGCAAATTTAAAGAGCACGTTAAGAGAGCTTCGGCAAATAATTTTATTTGTACATGTTTATTGGTTCAAAAGTTATTAAGGATTAGATTTTATAAAAACCCGGTCATCGATTTACTATGTAGCCCTCATGTGGCCTGCATTATGTTTGTAAATCGAGTGATAGCAGACACCCAGGTAAGCCGTGATATATTTCAATTAGTGAGATAAAATTCTAATGTGACATTGCGGTCTGCATACTTATTTACCTAATGCAAATAAGATCGTTACTTTGTTGTGTGCATGGTATTGTTTATTACTTTATAAAGACACTTTATTAAATATCTTGTTTTTATAAAATTTAAAAATGTTAAATATTGCAGGT